TTTTTTTTGAAAATTTTCTTTTGATCCCCTTCTTCTTTTGGTTTTTGTTTACAAGCGTACTACAAGTAAATTTTTTGACAATTTTTTGGATTTTTGGTTTTTGGGTTTTTTGGATTTTTTGGTTTTTGTTTTTGGTTTTTTTTTGATTTTTTTGATTTTTTATTTACAAGCATATTAAAAGTAAATTTTACATTTTTTGGCTTTTTTTTTGGATTTTTTTGGTTTTTTATTTTTGTTTTTTGTGGTTTTTTGATTTTTATTATTTATTTACAAGCATTTTAAAAGTAAATTTTACACTTTTTTTAATTTTTTTTGAGTTTTTTGTTTTTTTGTTTCTCTCTGATTTTTAGATTTTATTTTTTAGCTTTTTTGTTTTTTTTGAAAATTTTCTTTTGATCCCCTTCTTTTTTTGGTTTTTGTTTACAAGCGTACTACAAGTAAATTTTTTGACAATTTTTGGGATTTTTGGTTTTTGGTTTTTTTTTGATTTTTTGATTTTTTATTTACAAGCATTTTAAAAGTAAATTTTACACTTTTTTTGATTTTTTTTGAGTTTTTTTTTTTTTGTTTCTCTGATTTTTAGATTTATTTTTTAGCTTTTTTGTTTTTTTTTGAAAATTTTCTTTTGATCCCCTTCTTTTTTTGGTTTTTGATTACAAGCACACTACAAGTAAATTTTTTGACAATTTTTTGGGTTTTTGTTTTTTGATTTTTTGGTTTTTGTATTTTTTTGGGTTTTTCTTGGATTTTTTTTGGTTTCTTTGGTTTTTAGATTTATTTTTTAGCTTTTTTGTTTTTTTTGAAAATTTTCTCTTGATCCCTTCTTTTTTGGTTTTTGATTACAAGCATACTACAAGTAAATTTTTGACAGTTTTTTTTTGGTTTTTATTTTTTGAATTTTTTGATTTTTTTGTGGTTTTTAAATTTATTTTTTTAATTTTGTGGTTTTTTTTTAGTTTATTTTTTTGGTTTTTGGATTTTTTTTGGGATTTTTTGGGATTTTTTGCTTTTTCTCGGGGGTATCTTGATTTTTTTGATTCTTTTTGCTTTTTCTTGTATGTTTTTTGGTTTTTTTGGGTTTTTGTTTTTTAATAGAAAAAAGGGGAAGTAAAGAGGGGGCAAAGGGAAAATAAAATAAAAGTGGGAGGAAAAACAAAATAGATAGGAATTATTTATTTAACAATTTCACGACATTTTTTGGGGATTTTTTGGGGTTTTTCTGATTTTTTAAATTTATTTTTTAGCTTTTTTGTTTTTTTTGATGATTTTGTGGTTTTATTTGATGGATTGTGGGGGTTTTTGGATTTTTTGCTTTATTTTTTAACTTTTTTGGTTTTTTTGCTGAGGTTTTGCTTTCGTGTGTGTTTGTTTGGAGGTTTTTTGATTGTTTTTGGTTTTTTTTGAAAAATGTCTATTTTTATTTTTGATTTTGGGGTATTGTATTGGTTTAGTGTAGTTCGATGTATTTTGTGTTTTTTTTGGTGATTTTAAGGTCTTATTAGGTGGTTTTTTTTGATTTTGATGGAATAGAATATCAGTATTTCAGTGGATTTTTTGGTTGTCGGGATATCCCAGACATTTTGTTTATTTTTGGTTTTTGGGGGAACTCGGCCTTTTTGTTGATATTTTTTGTTTGTTTTTGTTTGTTTTTTGTTTTTTTGTTTTTGTTTTCTTGACTTTAATATTTGTTATTTGTAAAGCTTTTTTGCATTATTTTTGGTTTTTTATGTGTTTCTTGTTAGAAATGGTGAGTTCTAGGATTTATTTAATTTTTATCTTTTTTGGCTTATAGCTTTTCTCTTATTTATGTTTTCGTTTTCTTTTATACTTATATATTTCGGTAAATTAAATTATGTTAGTGTTTGTTGTATATGTGGTAGAGAATTATTTTTGTACATACAACTTTACATATATAAACTTCACAAAATACAAAAGAAAAGACAATATTTAAAGTTATAGCGGTAATATATAACAAAATTTCATACAAAAAGAGATACTGTTAATGAAAAACATACAAAATATCAGCAACTAAAGATGGCTAACATTAATATTGTCGTCACTAATGTAAATAATCTTCAAAATAGCATTATGCAGTCTACATTAAAAATATAAAAAATGCACATCCATAGTATACAAATGATACTGACAGTATTAAACACAAAGCACATGTGGCTATATCAAAAAAATCTACGAAGTAAAGGAAAAATGCCCAAAATATACAGTAACTAGAAAATAAGAAGACATATAGAAAATCTAGTATGAAAAAAATATGCATACAAAGCACAAGTATAAACTTAGTGTACAATATATAAGGCAACATTCGAAGTTGAATAACAAAAATAAACAGTCTACCAGACAAAAACATTTAAATACAAAGAAGAGAAAAAATAACAAGAAATAATTATATATTACTGTGAATAATATAAATATAATGCATATAAATATGAATTCTATTACATTATAAAAAGATGTGGCATTAATGTACATAATAACAAATCTTTGCAGTAAAAACCACACAAAGACCATAGAGAACATGAATTTAAAATAGCGAATATTAATAATAATCTTGCTAATACACATCCACAGAAAAATATAAAAAATAACATCGGACGTCTTGTAGTTCAAAGAAGAAATGTATTTATACACCCAACACTATAATTAATGTTGCCTTATATAGCATGTGGTGGCAAAAAATTAAACATCCTACATAGACATCCAAACATAAACAACAAAACATGGAAAAGCTTATTTGACGGATTGTACTGAATGTCACATATCTTTTTGCGTCGAAGTTATAAAAAACACATAAACTTAGTAATAATAATATTAGCGATGCCCATTGGATTAAATTATAAAAATAGCTGAATCAAAAATTAAAATATCAGTATACATATGTAACTAAAATTATCCCACATACGACTAATGTTGCTGCATGTATTAGTGCTGATACGGGTATTGGACCTTCCATTGTGTCTGGTAATCATATGTGTAGTCCGAATTGAGTACTTTTTGTGAATGCACAGACTATTAGTAATCACATTGTGGAGCTTATGTAATAATAATCTACACACAAAAAATTTATGTATTGAAATGTTATTAAACAGTAACCATTTATTGTGAATATTATTGAGAAAATTCATATTAATATTACATCTCCTATTTTACTTATAAAAAATGCCTTAAATCCAAACTTCAACACAAAAAAACGGTATCAGAAGTATGAGATTAGGAAGAATGAAAATAATCCTAACAATTCCCAACCACAATAGGCGGTTAAGAAGTCGTGGGATAATATGAAAAAATTCATACACAATGTGAAGGTTCAAAATATGTAAAAAATATTCCCAGTAACATGTCAAAATACATGTAATAAAACGCATAAAATAGTATGAAACAAAATATTATATTTATTAAGAGAAGTATAAACATATGGAAAGGGTTGCATGAGAATGTGAGACATATCGTACAAAAGTCTAACAGTAATATTATGTAAAAATCGTAATATTGGTAGTTGTATAGACATACACTTATTAAGAAAAATACAAACAGAGAACTCATACATAAAAGTATTGTTATTGTTGTTGTTGTTCAAAACTCAGTACGTGCCTACCAAACATTAATGCGCCAGTTATGTATCCGAATAAAAAGAAAAATGCAAAAAAAAAAAATAAAAACATCTTTTTTATACACACAACTAGTTTACTTAAAACTAACGACGTATTCTTCCCAAAAAACAAAGGGTTCTCCCCCACAACAAAATCTTTTTGAACTGCCCCCCCCGCCCCCCTTTTAAATCCAAGAAAGCTTTAACCGTCGGTTCCGGAACTGGGTTCAAAAAGTGGGCTCTTTCTCCCAAACAAAGTAAAACCCAAACTCAAAAATCCTCGCCATTTTCTGATATTACTCTTAATTTGGTTTGTTTTAGGGGTTGTGGGATAGGGGGTTAAATTGGGGTTGCAGAGCGTGGGGACGTTGGGGAGAATTTGAATTTCACGGGTTTGAATTCGAGAAGGAGGGGAGAACCTTAGTGGGATTTTGGTGTTTGTTGTTGGGTATTTGAGGATTTGGTTTGAAGGGGGGTTGGGGGGAGGGGGTTGAGTTTGGTTTTGGAGAAAGGGGGTGTTTTGGTGGGGTTTTTTGGGGGAGAAGGGGGGGATTTTGGTTAATGTTTTGAAAGCGGAGAAATGGTTTTGAGTTTGGTAGATTGGAGTTAATTAGTGTTTAATTAATATGTTTTTATTGTGTTTGGTTTGTTTGAGTGTTTCTCATAAAATGATTGGGCTTTGTTATCTGTTAGTTGCTATTTTGTGTGGATTTGTGGGGTATGTATATTCACTTTTTATTAGGTTGGAACTTTCATTGATTGGTTGTGGTGTTTTATTTGGTGATTATCAGTTTTATAATGTTCTAATTACATCACACGGTTTGATTATGATTTTCGCCTTTATTATGCCTGTTATAATGGGAGGTCTTACTAATTATTTTGCACCTGTTATGGTTGGATTTCCTGATATGGTTTTTCCTCGATTGAATAATATGAGCTTTTGGATGTTTATGGGTGGTTTTGGGTGTCTAGTTAGTGGGTTTTTGACTGAAGAAGGGATGGGTGTTGGTTGGACCTTGTATCCTACACTTATTTGTATTGATTTTCACTCAAGTTTGGCGTGTGATTTTGTTATTTTTTCCGTTCATTTTTTGGGTATTTCCAGTATATTAAATTCCATTAATGTTGTAGGTACAATTTTTTGTTGTAGAAGGAAATATTTTAGTTTTCTCATATGGACTCTTTTTATTTGAGGTTCATTGCTCACATCTTTGCTTTTGATTGTTACTTTACCTGTACTAGCTGGAGGTGTTACTCTTCTCTTATGTGATAGAAATTTTAATACATCATTTTATGATGTTGTTGGTGGTGGTGATTTGGTTTTATTTCAGCATTTTTTTTGGTTTTTTGGTCATCCTGAAGTTTATATAATTATTTTACCCGTTTTTGGATTAATTTCTACTATAATCGAAGTTGTTGGTTTTAGATGTGTTTTTAGTTCTGTTGCCATGATTTATTCTATGATACTTATTTCTATTTTAGGTTTCTTTGTGTGGGCGCATCACATGTTTGTAGTTGGGATGGATGTAGACTCCAGGGCTTACTTTGGAAGTGTTACAGTTTTGATAGGTTTACCCACATGTATTAAATTATTTAATTGGATTTATAGTTTTTTGTATACTGATTTGTGCATTACTTTTGAGATTTATTTTGTTTATATGTTTATCTTTATGTTTTTATTTGGTGGTTTAACTGGCCTCTTCTTGTCTAATGTTGGTCTTGATATTATGCTTCACGATACTTACTTTGTTGTTGCACATTTTCATTATGTTTTATCATTGGGTGCAGTTGTTGGTTTCTTTGGTGGTTTTGTTCATTTTTTGATGAAGTGACTTCCTATTGAACTTTACGTATTTTGGTTATTCTTTTTTATTTGTTGTTTGTGGTGCGGTTCAAACATGTTGTTTTTTCCTTTACATAGTCTTGGTATGTTTGCTTTTCCTAGAAGGATTTCTGATTATCCAATTAGTTTTTTGTTTTGGAGTTCCTTTATGTTATACGGTATGGTTATTCTTGCTGTTATAGTATTTTTTTGTTGTTGTTTATTTAATGTGTTCTTTTTTTGGGACTATTGTTTGTTTTTTGTTAATTTATTTGTGTATAATTTATTTTGTTTCTTTTATTTTTTTACATGACTTCCCTGTGTTATGGCACTTTATTTACTCGTTGTAGACTTTGCACATATTGTGTTAGATTATTTGATGCTTATTTTATGTTTTTGCTTTGTTTTTTTTATTTATTTCTGACGTTCTTTGTTTTTGTTTTTTTATATATAAATTGATGATAACTGTGTTACTAAAAATTGTTGGATATGGTAGTTGAACACTGAATATGTTGCTATATCATAGTTGAATAATGGGGTAAATATATCAGAAAAAAGTGGTAAAAATATAAAATCTTTTAAGAAAAATCCAAAAAAATATATTATAAATAATATAAATATGAATATAAATACAAAAAATACGTCAAAATACATAAATTTAAATAATATTAATAGAGATGGCATTAATATGTAACAACTTCTACTACAAGTCACATATAATCAGTAAGTGAAGTTAATTAGAGGTGTAAGCATACCGTATACCAAAAAAATAAATCCAAAAAATAAACTGATTACTAGGTACAACATTAAAAATATATATCCTAGTATAAGTACAAAACAAAAAAACCATACATAAAGTTTGATATAAAACTGGCATATAACAATAAGAAACAAACAAAATCCAGATAAATTATATCACACAAAAGAAATGATATAAATATGTCGAAATTAAAAAATAAATAATCTAGTATTACTATAAAAAGGCATCGTATTACAAAAAAATAAAACAAAATAGGAAATATATCACAAAATAAAATAGACAAAATAAATATGTACAAAATATAATATTAAACATAAAATATATACCAAAAAAATTGTATGTGAAACATGAGAAACTTATGAAATCAAAGAATATGTAGAATATTAAAAATGTGAAAAACTCTATGTAATATATTAAAAAATTTATTCCGAATGTGAAGAAGAAACAAATAAAGTTGTACAAAATGTATATATAGAATATATAGTATTTTGTGCATAACATTGATAATGAAAATGTTCCGAAGAAAGTTACAAATAATAATACAAATACGAAACTAAAAAATATTCTCAAAAAAAAAACCAATACAAATATAAATATATATGTTATACATACAACAAAATCGAATACAAAATCAGTATAAAGTCCAAATCAAATCATCACAAGACGAAGTCATACGTCCTAACACATAACAAATCGAAAACTCGACTCAATCAAAACTTCTTAAAATCCCCTTTTGTAGATTACATACCACTTATATAAAACATATTACTATAGGCATAAATCCATGTAACACACCACATAATTCACTACACTGTCCATATATTGTTGCGTTATTTGCTGAAAATAATATTATTTCGTTACACCTACCTGGTTCTCTACTTTTATTCCTAAACTCGATAATGTAAATGAATGTATTACATCTACTGCGGATACTCATAGTTTGTATATCACTAAACTTAATAAAGTTAACACATGATTACATTGTAACAATCGCAAATCTCCTATTAAATAGTCACTTTCTAATATCAAATTACTAAATATCGTTGTTTCACCGAATAAAAAATACACCCAATATCATTGAAATCCTACTACTTTACATAGGTCAAAACTTACGAAATTCAGACATCCAAAATACAGTAATAGACATAATCTTAGCAATAGACATACTGTAAACATTGAACCTATTGCGAATCAATACGCATCTATAAATTTTGAGGCTATAAAATCTCAAGTACAATATACGTTATTAACTTTGGATACAAATATTATTGATGTTAATAACAAAGTACAAACCCATATACACAAAAAACATACAAAAGACAATAAAACTATTATAGAATCCATCAAAAAAATCATTCAAAATGATAATATAAAACTCATTTGTTACTTAATCTTGATATTTGTGTTATTCTTTTGGTTTTTATTTTAGTGTTGTTAGTCTTATCTGGGTTTGTTGGTTTATGTGAAAGACGTGTTCTGGCGATAGTACAGCTGAGGATAGGACCTGCCTTATTTTTGTTTGGTTTATTATCTCCTATTACTGATGGTATTAAACTGTTTTTAAAATTTGTTTTATTTGTGGTCAGTGTTGACATTTTTTATTTACTTATTGCTATGTTTGTTACCTTATTTTGTATGTTTTTTCCTTGGTTTTTTTTACCTATGGGTTTTCTTGTGCTTTTTGACAAAGGATTTACCGTTCTTTTTTTGGTGGGGTTTCACTTGTTCATGAATGTTTTTAGTGTATTCCTTGTGGGTTGTTTTCTTTTTTCCAGTTGTTTTGTTTACTTGACTTCGATGCGTACACTCTTTTTTTCTATTTTATCTGAAAGTTCCCTTTTAATTTTATTTTATTGTTTTTATCTAATGGATTATTTCAGTTTTTTTGGCATAAAAGATATGTGTGTGGGCCAACTTTTTGTTTATAATGGTTTTATTTTGGGGGTACTTTTTGTTGGGCTGTTTTGGGTTGGGTTATTACTCGATGGGTTGAGATTGCCTTTTGATTATATGGAGTGTGAAAGTGAACTTGTTGCGGGACTTGTAACAGAATTATCTGGTGCATTTTTTGTAATTTATTCCGTTTTAGAAATTACACACTTGTTGGTATCCACTATTTTATTTACGGGTTTGTGCTTTGGTGGGTTGTTTGTATGTTTAAAGTCTATAATTATACTCGCTATTGGGTTCTTAATTCCACGTGTTATTAGTTTTCGTGTTAAAATTACTACGGCACAGACATTCATAATTTTATTTTTGTTTTTTGTGAGTTTTCTTGTGTTTCTGTTTTTTGCTGTGTCTAAGATACTGTGTTTGGTTATTTAATAACGAAAACTTCTTCTAAAACGTTCTAAATCCGCTTCCCATCCCCAATTTCTCCCCCCTTCCCAAATAAACCTCCTGTCCCCAAACATTCCAAAAATCCTTTGTTTTTATATGTGTTACATGTGTCCATTTTTTTGCTTTTTTATAGTTTTGTTATCTTATGCGATTATACATCCCTTAGTTATTTAGGTTTTAATTTGTTGTGGTTGCTTTGTATTAACATTTGTGTGGTTACCATGCTAGATTCCTATATTTGCTTCATATTTATTTTGTTATTTGTTTTTTGCTTTTCGTTGTTGTTTTGTTTTTTGATATTCGATGCCGGGTTTCTGTTTTTGGTGGTAGTTATCCAGTATATCGTTATATTTATATTTTTATTTGTAGTACATATCATTTTGTTGTCTGTTTTGTTTGAAGTATTCACATTGTTGCTATTTTTACTATTAATATCCAGCAGGTTATAAAATACTTATTTTGTGATATTATTATATGCTCAATTTAATTAATTTTATATTACTTTTTGTGTTATTATATTTCATGGTTTTACATTATTGTTTTTTTTTGTGTGATTTCTGTTTTTTAGTGTTTGATGAAGAGAGTGGATGGGTGTTTTATGTTTATTTTATATATTACTTATTTTGTTTAAACTGTACATAGCTTTTTTGGTTATGTTTATGGAACAATTGTATATACGTCTTGGAATATTTATTTTTATTTATATGCTTACTTTTTATGTACTATTCTGTCTGCTTTATTTTGATCATTATTTTGTTGTGTTTTGTGTATTTTTATATCATTTTTGTTAAACTCCTTTTAATTCAATCCTGTATTTGTGTAATGGTAGGTCTTAATAGCTTTGCCGTAGTTAGTCTTTTGTTTGTGTTGAGTGTGAATAATTTTTGCTTTTTATTTTTGGTTTTTATTTCTACTAAAAATTATATTTTTTATTTATACCTTAATTTTCATTTGGTTTATAGTGTGAGTCTTGTACTCCTTATTGGTATTGTATTACTTTTTTATCGTTTATAACATTTTTGACTTTAAATATAATGAAAATTATTTTCTTATAAATTTTGTTTTTTTCTTTTTTAACAATTTTATACTTAGTAGTGTTTTGTTAGCTTGTTTATTTTTATGTATTGATGCTATTCCCATTGTGTTTGGTTTTTTTCTTAAAGTGTTTTGTTTACTTATACAACTTACTTATTTGGGTATTTGTATAACATTTTTTTCGTGGTTTGGATGGTGATTATTTATAGTTTTTACTTTAGATTATTAGTTAATATTTTTGTTTTCTCTTATCAATATATTGGATTTTGGGTAGTTAGGCTGGCTATACTTAATATTGATACCCTGTTTTTTTTGTTTGCTGTGCTATTTACATTTTATTTTTTGATATTATTAATTTATTTGATTTAATTCTATAGATTTTGTTTGGTTTTATTGTATGTATCTTCAAAACACAAAAATCAAACTAAAAATCTTCCCCTTCCTAACCTCCCTCTAAAACCTTTCTTGTTCTTTCTTCTAAAAGCTTGGCAAAAAGGCTTCTTAAATCCCAATTCCCCTCCTCCTTCTCTCTTAAATCCTAACCTAAATGGGACGTTTTCAAACCGTTGTCGTCCAAAAGGCCTGCCTCTCCCCGAAAATCTCCATCTTCCCCCAAAAAAATCCTTCTCCCCCTCGCTATCCCTCAAATCAATAAACATTAATAAAAATAAGTTCAAATTCATTCTTCAATTAACCTCCCCTTCCCCCCTTTCTCCTTCTCCTCCAAATTTCCTCTCCTGGATCCCCTTCTCTAAAATTCGTCCAAAAAACTCCTCTTTTATTATATAATTTTTTATCAGTTATTCTTTATTTTGTGGATTTAATCTAGTCTACAAACTACCAATAAAAAAAGTAACAATACTCAGAATTGCAATTCCATTCATATTGGATAAGCTAAAATCACATATAGGGCTAAAAAACCACTCATTCATAGACTATAAAATAATATTAAGGAATATGTTAATCATAGGAGTGAACTTCTACAGTATACAAATCATAATATACAATTCAGTATGAATAAAAATAATGCGAATAATAACACAACCATTAAGAACAATCCCATAAACTTGTCTGGTACTGCCTTTAAAAAACCGAATAAAAACAAAAAAAATCATTCAGGTAGTATCTTATCAGATGTTTTCAGAGTATCCACTATTACCCATGATTCTTCGTGGAAAACAAAATATCAATTAATAAATATTACATACATCATACAAAATAATATGAAAAATGCCAAAAACATATCACGTAGATAAAACCACATACAAAAGCACAGTCTTTCACAATAAAATGCAAACCTATCACAAAAACCATCAGAACTCATAAAATAATGCAAACAAAATAAATGTAAAAATAAAACCAGTATTAATACAAATGGTAGTAGAACATGTAAAACATGTAATTTTAATAGTGTGAAGTCGTTTATAAACTCACTTCCCCAAATTCAATAACACAACCACTGACCCAAAACTGGTACCGTAGCTAGTATATTACTAAATACTGTTAAACCTCAATATGACATCATAGTACACGGTAAAACATACCCTATAAATGCAATGACTATAATGAATACGAAAAGGAGAAAACCTACGAACCATACCAACAAATGTGTATCAAATAAAATTACCAATACTATACATTTAAATATATGAACATATAGTAAAAAATATAATAAGGATGTAAAACATATATGTACACTACGTATAACAAATCCCAAATCAAAATCTCATAAAAATAGTACGAAATATCAATTTGCACATATAAAGCAACTAAAAAATAACCATGCTAAACAGACTCCACATATTATTTGTAATGCTATAAAAAATCCCAAACTAAAACCTACACCATATATCCTGTACAAACAACCTGACATTAAAAGACCCTTTCTTTTCATCTTCGCTTTTTATTTATGCGTATAAAACACTCATTTTTGTTTCTTTGAACAAAACAGAAAAATTCTTACTCGCTAAAATCAAAAATCCCCTCCCCTCTCAAACCCTCTCTCGCCTCCCAATCCTGTCTTCCCTCCCGTGTTCCTCCTTCCGACCAAAAACTCCTCCCCCAAAAATGCGTTGCAACTCAAATTTTGCCCCCCCTTCGTCTTCGCTAAATCCCATCAAAAAATGTTCCCCCCCTCTCTAACTTCCCAACCCCTTCAAAACCCTTCCCCCATCCATTGTTTTTCCTTTTCTTCCTCCCTTCCCTCCCTTGGTCCGAAAGCTAAAAATCCCCCCTCCCTCGGCTGTCCTCTTCCAAAAATCCCCTCATTTGAATCAACGCTCCTCTCCCGCTCCTTCCCCTTCCTTCCCTAAACATCTCCCCTCCCTCCTACCAAATCCTTCTCCAATCTGGCGGGTGTCCCCCAAAAAATCCCCTTCCAAAAAGCCTTTTATTTTAATTTTAAATCTTTTGTTATTTTGGACAACATCTCACAACCAACATCTTAAAATATCAAAGGCCCCGTCCCCTCAAATTTCAACTCGAAAAAAGCCCTCTGCTGCCCCCGTCCTCCCCAAATAAAATGTTCTGCCCGCCGCCGGGAAAACCAACCACCCTAACCCAATTAAATCCCAAATTTGGGGTGTTCCACAAGCCAAAAAGAATTCCGGGTCCCCCTCTTTCTTTGGTTTAAAACTGGTTCAAAAATCCTTTCCCCCCAAAAAACCCCCTTGAAACATTAAACAAATTTCTCTCGCTGAATCTCGCTCGAATCTGCTCCCAAAATTCCTTCTCCTAAATAAATATAAATCAAAAAATCCTTCAAGAAACTCCCTCCTCCTAAAATTCATAATCTAACAAAATCCGCCCCGCCGCTTCGGAAATCCCTTATAAACTCGAAATAAAACATCAAAAAACTCCCCGTTTAATCTTCTCCCCTCTCAAGTCCATCCCTGAAAAAGCCTGCTCGCCCCCACAAAAATCTGTCTCCTTTCCGAAACTCAACTCTGTCTAAATCGGAGTCCCAAAATTCCCCAAAATACCGTCCCAAAATCCTTCCCGAAAAAGAGTCTCCCTTCCGCTTGCCCGTTGTCCTCGTCTTCTCCAAAAATGCTTGTTCTTCCCCAAAATCTATCGAAATCGGTAAACATTGTTTTATGCTCTTATACTCACACAACTTCTCAGTACCACGATGCAAATCCTTTAAGCAAATCAAATAAAATCCCAAAATCCCAAAACTCTCCCCCAAAAACTGTGCTGACGGGTAGGTAAGTTGCGAAAAAGACCAAAAAAATGTCGTTTGCCCCCTTTTATGTCTATCCTGTAATCGAGTTTTTAATATATAATTCTTTTTATCTTGCACATTTCGTTTTGTTATAATAAAATTGTTCTTCTTTTATTATCAGATACCATTTGGTGTTAAAAATTCTTTGGTGCGCTTTGGTAATATACATACTTCTGTTGATAAATACAACATGATTTTTTTTGTTTTAAATGGACTTATGATCTGACTTAATTTATTACACATTAATATTATCTTAGTCAAATTTTCGTTCTTAATATTAATAAATAATACAGAATATTTAATAATACTATTTTCTGTGTTTTGTTTTGAGGTTTTACTTTTAAAGGGGAGGTTTTTGTTGTTTTGTTTTGATTTTGAGGATTGGGGTTGGGGGAGAGGAGGAGGATTGATTTTGGATTTAGTTTTGAGGAGGGATTTTTTTTGGGGAGGGGGTGAGGGAAAGGGTTTTTTGGCGAGTGTTTTTTTTTGGTTGGAGGGGAGGGGGAACGTTTTATTTTTGTTGTGTTTTTAACTTTTTGTGAAGGATTTTTGGGTAGTTTTGGAAGAGACATTTTCCGAGGTTTAGATTGGGGGAAGGACTTTTCCTTTTATATTTGTTGTTTTTTTGTGGGAGAGGGAGATTTTGGTTATGATTTTTAAATTGACGACAATTTTGGAGGCAACCTTTAATTAATTGTGATTTTGTTTTAATATGGATCTCTAAATGACTTTTGCTATAAACTAAAATTAACAAACCTCCAACATCTCTCCCCTTCAAAAATCTCCCCCCAAAATTGAGAAAAGTAAAAAGCACCAT